TTCTTTCTTTTTGGGTCACCCTGCTTCTGTGGGAGATGGCCAACTTGGTTAAAAAAAAAAAAGTACGAAAGCAGGGAAGGTACCTAGGGATTTGCAGTGTGTATAATTCCTTTATATAAAGGGAAAGGGGACAAAAGATATTGTAAAAATTATAGGGGATTAAGTTTACTGAGTATACCAGGTAAAGTGTATGGTAGCATTATTTAAAGAATTAGAGGTAAGAGCAGGATCTCAGATGAGCAAGGATGCTTTAGAAAGGGTAGAGGATGTGTAGATCAGGCATTTACATTGAACCATCTATGTGAACAGTATTTAGATAAAGGTAGAGAAGTTTTCATTGCATTTATGTATTTAGAAGAGAGTGGATAGGGGAGCAATGTGGCAAATGATGCAAGTGTAAGTTACTAAATTCTGTGAAGTCTTTATGAAGATAGTGCAGCTCAGGTTAGGGTGTGTAGGAGAGAGAGAGATTATTTCCAAGTAAAAGTAGGTCTTAGACAGGGGTGTGTAATATCACCATGGTTGTTTGTGATGAATGATTTAAATAACCGACAAGTTGAAGACTGAGACACTTATGCAACATACGGGAATCTTTATTCAGGAAACATTTTGCCACAGTGGCTTTATCAGTCCAGTATAAAGCAGAAAGGTGTAAGGAGAGGAGGAGTTTGAGGTAATCAGTCCCTCAGCCTAGAGTCGTCATGTTCAATCCATCAATCTCGTATGTACAGCATTGGGCCATAGACGTGGCTTATATACTGTAGTCAGGCGAGGCGAAGCAGTAGTAGGCGGGGTCATAGTGGAAGCATCCACTAGTCTAGGGAGGTCTTCGTCCAAAGGTTGGACAAGTGTTGAAGAATTTTTAGCAAGATCCCATGATGCTGCAGTTTGACAGCTGTGATGAATGGTTTAATAACCCGACACTTATGCAACATATGGGAATCTTTACATTCTACAAGACTGATGGACTGACCACATCCACTCTAGGCTGAGGGACTGATTACCTCAAACTCCTCTCCTTACACCTTTCTGCTTTATACGGGACTGATAAAGCCACTGTGGCAAAATGGTTCCTGAACAAAAATTCCCATATGTTGCACAAGTTTCTCAATCTTCCACCATGGTTGTTTAACATTTGCAGGTGGGGTTTTAAAAAGTAAATGCTGGGGTGTTGTTAAGAGGGGTGGGATTAAATTATGGGGAATCAAATACAAAATGGGAGTTACGTTTTGCTTGGGGGAGTAAAGAAAAGTTGCATAGTGGACGAGTTTGGGAGGGTGTGTAAAGGTTTAAAGTGAACATACATAAGAGTAAGGTGCTTAGGGTATCAAACTATTTAGATAAAGAAAAATTGGTTATCACACCGGAGGGAGGAAGTATGGAAGAAGTGTATGTTTTCAGATATTTGGGAGCTAACTTGTCAGTGGATGGGTTTATGAAGGACAAGGTCAACCATAGAACTGACGAAGGAAAAAGGTGGGTGGTGCATTGAGGTATCTGTGGAGACAGTTATCCAGGGAGGCAGAGAGGGGAATGTACAAGAGTTTAGTGGTACCAACACTCTTACATAGGTGTGAAGCATGGGTTGTAAATGCTGCAGCGGGGAGGCAGTGAAAATGTTGTGTCTAAGGGCAATGTGTGGTATAAATATTATGCAAAGAATTTGTAATGTGGAAATTAGGTGTGGAGTTAATAAAAGCATTAGAGCTGAAGAGGGGCTGTTGAGGTGGTTTGGTCATTTAAAGAGAATGGAACAAAGTAGAATGACTAGAGTATATAAATCTGTTGGGGAAGGAAGGCGGGGTAGGGGTCATTCCCGAAAACGTTGGATGGAGGGGGAATGAGTGGTAATCAACAAAGCAGTCAAAGAGTTTTTATAAGGACAATGAGGCTCAGGTTATGTGGAAGAGAGCAAGATTATTTTCCAGTAAGAATAAGTCTTAGACAATGATGCATGATGCCGCCATAGTTATTTTTAACATTTATAGAACGGGTTGTCAAAGAAGTGAATGCTGGGGTGTTGGGCGAGAGGTGTGGGATTAAAATATATAGAATCTAATACAAACTGGGAGTTATTACAGTTGCTTTTCACTGATGACACTGCTTTTGGGAGATTGTGAAGAGCTGCAAATGGTTGTGGATGAAGTTAGGAGGATAATTAAAAGGAAACTAAAAGACTTGTTCAAAGAAAGAGTGGATATCAGATTGGAAGGAGGGAGAATGGAGGAAGTCAATGTTCAGATATTTGGGAGTGGACTTGTTGGCCAACAGGTATATAAAAGATGAGGTGAACCACAGCACTAATGAGGGGAGGGGGGGAAGGTGAGTGATGCATTAAGGCATCTGTGGATACAAAGAACATTATCTCTGGAGGCAAAAAGGGCAATGTATGAGAGTTTAGAGGTACCAACACTTACATGGGTGTGAAGCATGGGTTCTGAATGTTACAAGGAGGCTGGAGGTAGTGGAAATGTAGTGTCTGAGGCAATGCGCAATGTGAATATTATAGAGAATTTGTAGTTTGAAGATCTGTAGTTGCAAGGATACTAAAGTGTTATCCAAAGAACTGAGGGGTTGTTTAAGAGTTGTTAGAGGATGCAGCAAAATAGGACAACTTGGAGGATGAATAAATCTAAAGAAGGAAGTTATGACAAGAGTTACTCTAGCACAGGTTGAAGAAGGCAAAGGAGATTTCGAACGAGAGGAGCTTTAACCCTTTGACTGTTTCGGTTGTATATATACGTCTTACGAGCCACCGTGTTTGACGTACAGTGGTACAGTGGACCCCCGGTATTCGATGGCATCGGTATTCGATAAATCTGGTATTCGATGCATTATATCGCAAAAAAAAATCCTCGGTATTCAATACAATTCGTACGAGACCTGTCCACATGTGGCCTGAACTGCCCCTTGTGTGCCAGTGTTTACAAGCCAGGCAGTGTGCGTGCATCTAAGGATACATTCGGTACATTCCATATTATCCATATTATCACTGTGTTTGGTGCTTGTTTCTGCAAAATAAGTCACCATGGGCCCCAAGAAAGCTTCTAGTGCCAACCCTGTGGTAGAAAGGGTGAGAATTAGCATGGAAATTAAGAAAGATTTTGAAGGGTTTGGGGCTAACCCTGAGAAGCCTATACCAGTTGTGGAATACATTGTGCCTACTTCAAAAATTAAGGAAATGTGTGCACAGTGGGTTGAAGTGCAAACCTTTATGGATGAAAATCACCCTAACACAGCTATTACAATGACAATGTTGTGGCCCATTTTAGACAGATCGTAAAGGAACGGGAAGTACAGAACTCTATGGACAGATTTGTTGTGCGACAGAGGTCCAGTGACTCTGAAGCTGGTCCTAGTGGCATTAAAAGAAGAAGGGAAGTAACCCTGGAAAAGGACTTGCTACCTTAAGTCCTAATGGAAGGGGATTCCCCTTCTAAACACTAACACCTCTCCCCTCCTTCCATCCCATCAATCATCACCAGATCTTCATTAAAGGTAAGTGTCAATTATTTTATTGTTATTGTAATTATTCTATTGCATTAAACTTAATATTTCATGTAGTAAAATTTTTTTTTTCATACTTTTGGTTGTCTTGCACGGATTAATTTGATATTCATTATTTCTTATGAGGAAAATTAATTCGGTTTTCGATATTATCGGTATTCGATGAGTTCTCAGGAACGGATTAATATCGAATACCGGGGGTCCACTGTATATATACTCAAAAATTCTAGCGGCTTCAAATCGAGCAGGAGAAAGCTGGTAGGCCCACATGTGAGAGAATGGGTCTGTGTGGCCAGTGTGCACCATATAAAAAAATCCTGCAGCATGCAGTACACGAGAGAAAAAACTCCGACCGTTTTTTTGGATTAAAATGCAGACTTTGTGGTGTATTTTCGTATAGTATTTATGGATGTATTCTCATTTTCTTGGTCTCATTCGATAGAATGGAAAACATATTATAGAAATAGAGGTGATTTTAACTGGTTTTAATATGAAAATAACCTTGAAATGGAGCTCAGAGTAGGGAAAATGTTTGATTTTTGCCAATGTTCAAAAGTAAACAAATGATGTCGTTGTCCAATAAATGTCCAACTAGCCATTCTAATACTATGCACTCACGAATGGGTTGATATTATTTATACAATTATTACAATATTGCAGTAGTCTGCATAACAGTAAACCTTCTATTCTTTGTTTGAATAAAAATTCAAAATAGAAAGCCAGAGTAATATCAGAGGGGCCTGTCTGCATGTTCATTCTGGACCCTATTTTGAAATTGGCATATTTTTTAATTTACGTGAAATTGCCCAAATTGCAAATTTCTGACCACGTTATTGGGTAGTTGAAATTGGTAAATGGGCAGTTTCTTGTAGTCAATCGATAGAACAAATGGAGTTCTAAAGAAATAGCTATGAGTTCAGTCGACTGAAACAATGGAATTAGCTGAAAATAGGGCTCAAAGTGCGCAAAATAGCCGAAATATCACCGAGGTCGCTAACTTTGCAAGAGCGTAATTCTGCAAGTTTTCCATCAAATTTCGTTCTTTTGGTGTCATTACCATTGGGAAAAGATTCTCTATAATTTCACAAGATTTTTTTTTTTTTTCAAAAATTTTTCGACACCAGGAGACACCTCAGGATTTGGGGTTTCAACAGTCAAGGGGCTAACATTCAACAGGCATGTGAGAGCATGTTTGACAGGAGTGGAGACAAATGGTTTGCACGATTTGATGTGCTGTTGGAGTGTGAGCAAGGTTAACATACATGAACGGATTCAGGGAAACCAGTTAGCTGGACCCGAGCCCTGGAGGTGGGAAGTACAATTCCTGCACTCTGAAGGAGTGGGTGTTGCAGCACTAATGCCAGCAAATTTACAAACAAGAAAAACAACATTAAGGGAATAAAAAGTTTCAAATTAAAAAGCATCTACACATACAAGACTCTTGAAACACAAATCCTGTTATAAAATACCCAAAAGATGTGCAGCATACTTACTGGGATTAACAAGATCGGAAAACTCAAAGGTATCACCATCATATATATTGCTGAGAAACATTCTGATGACCTTAGCAAGAGCCATAATCCTCATCGAACTCTGGAGCATCTCCGGATGTTGCTGTATTGATTTACATGCATCAAGCGAGCTCTGTAACAGACATTGAAACAACTAGGAATAAGTCAATACCATGACTGAAATAATTCACAACTCACAAATTGAATAAAAAAAATTACCTGAAAAAAAATTCATAATAATCATAAACATTAATTTTAAGATACAGTGTGTGTGTGTATTACACAGATTTCATACACTAAGAATCACAAAGTTGAGCAAAGCATATTGGGCAGACAAACTAGGAGTAACACTCCTAGTGGATCATGATCATGTGGGAGATGATAAGTCACCGACTTCCAATAGCAGTGTACAGTTTACATATGCAGAATAGTAAATAATGTATATCTGAGAAGTTAAACAAGTGATGGAACTCACCTGATTGATCTGCTCCAAGTTAGCTCCAAAATCACGGATGAAGTGAAAATAAATCTTCTGCACGAAGTCAGGTTTACTTTGTCTGATGTCACTGACAGAAATATTTGGGTCAACTAGCTGAGCAAAAATGCTAGCAAGGTGCTCATCTGATATATATTCCATAGTGCTCCTGTGTCCTTGCAATTCGTTCTACAAGTCAAAAGAACTTCATTAGCAATTTGTGAAGATATTAAATGAATTTCTTACATTTCACATCAGTCAAATAGATGGAGCATGAAATTTGTTTCTTCAACAAGGCTACAATCCTCAGGTTTGAAAACTCTGGGTCAATTATCAGCACATGACAGATTGTGTATCTTTCCTATACAATAGGCAAAAATCTAACATTCAGGCTGTTTCAGTGATCCATAAATTGCAATGCAGATTAAACAGATGGGAGGAAACAAATGAAAAGTGAAAATACATAGGGTGATAGAGGGTCAACAATAGAGTGAGAGAGAAAGTGTGTGAGTGTGTGTGTGAGAGAGTGTGTGTGTGAGAGTGTGAGAGAGTGTGTGAGAGTGTGAGAGAGAGTGTGAGTGTGAGAGAGAGTGTGAGAGTGTGAGAGAGTGAGAGTGTGAGAGAGTGAGAGTGTGAGAGAGAGTGTGAGAGTGTGAGAGAGTGTGAGAGAGTGTGAGAGAGTGTGAGTGTGAGAGTGTGTGAGAGAGTGAGAGAGAGTGTGAAAGGGTGTGAGTGTGAGAGAGTGTGAGTGTGAGAGAGTGTGAGTGTGAGAGAGCGTGAGAGTGTGAGAGAGTGAGAGTGTGTGAGTGTGAGAGTGTGAGAGTGTGTGAGTGTGGAGTGTGAGAGTGAGTGTGAGAGTGTGAGAGTGTGAGAGAGTGTGAGAGAGAGTGTGAGTGTGTGAGTGTGAGAGAGTGTGAGAGAGTGTGAGAGAGTGTGAGAGAGTGAGTGTGAGAGAGTGTGAGTGTGAGAGAGTGTGAGTGTGAGAGAGTGTGAGAGAGTGTGAGAGAGTGTGAGAGAGCATGAGAGAGAGTGAGAGAGTGAGTGAGAGTGAGTGAGAGTGAGTGTGAGAGAGCATGAGAGCATGAGAGAGAGCGTGAGAGAGAGCGACAGACAGACATGCATTGGCGATTTCGCCGAATTTCAGCCCTGTTTTTGGCCAATTCCCTTGTTCCAGTTGACCAAACTCATAGCTATTTCTTTAGAACCACATTTTTTCTATCAGTTGAGTACAAGAAAATGCCCATTTACCGATTTGAACTACCCAATAAAGTGGTCAGAAATTGGCAATTTGGCCAATTTCATGCAAATTAAAAAATATCCAATTTCAAAATAGGGTCCAGAATAAACAATGTAGACATTCTTGGCACTAAAATAACATATGCTCTGTTCATTAGTCACGTCTCTAGGCCCCTCTTATATTACTATTGCTTTCTATTTTGATTTTTTATTCATACAAAAAATACAAAATTTACTGTTATGCAGACTAATTAATGCAATATTGTAAAAATGGTAAAAATAATATCAGTGCACTAGTGAAAGAATATTAGACTGCCCAGCTGACATGTATTGGATGTGTGGTGTGATTTACTTACTCCTGAACATTGGTAAAAATCGAACATTTCCGCTACTGTGAGCTCAATTTCAAGGTGGTTTTCATCATGAAACTAATCAAAATCATCTCTATTTCTGTCATGTTTTCCATTTTATCACTTGAGACCATGAAAACGAGAATGCAACGATAAATACTATACAAAAATACACCTCAAAGTCGGCGTTTTAAGAAAAAAAAAAAAAGTCAGTTTTTTTTCTCATTATGCACTGTGTGCTGCAGGATTTTTTTTATGTGGTGCACACTGACCACACAGACCCATTCTCTCACATGTGGGCCTACCAGCTTTCTCCTGCTTGATTTGAAGCCGCTAGAATTTTTGAGTATATATATGTCAAACACGGTGGCTCGCAAGACGTATATATACGACCGAAACAGTCAAAGGGTTAAAGCTCCTCTTGTTCAAAGCCTCCTTTACCTTCTCCAACCTGTGCTAGGGTGACTCCTGTCATGACTTCCTTCTTTAGATTTATTCACCCTCCAAGTTGTCCTATTTTGCTGCATCCTCTAACAACTCTTAAACAACCCCTCAGTTCTTTGGATAACACTTTAGTATCCTTACAACTACAGATCTTCAAACTACAAATTCTCTGTATAATATTCACACTGTGCACTGCCTCAGACACAACATTTCCACTACCTCCAGCCTCCTTGTTATAACATTCAGAACCCATGCTTCACACCCATGTAAGTGTTGGTACCTCTAAACTCTCACACATTGCCCTTTTTGCCTCCAGAGAAAATGTTCTTGTCAAATTGACTGGACTTCTTTGATCGGTAATCTGGAGTCCAGTGACTTTATGGAAACAGTTCAGGACTGTTTCCTGAAGCAGTGTGTAACAGAGCCTACCAGGGGTAATAATTTGCTCAACCTAGTCTTGTCAAATAAGGAAACTCATTAATAACAAAAAGGCACAATACCGTGACTGGAACGATACACAAATAACCCGCACATAAAAGACAGAAGCTTACGACGACGTTTCGGTCCGACTTGGACCATTGACAAAGTCACACTAACAGAGGAGGAGCAGAACGGCTATATATAGGCAGGAAGAGGTAGAGGTAGTAGTAGTGGTAGTAGTAGTAGTAGTAGTAGTACAAGAATTGTATATAATACCGACAGGATGAAATGACACATGCACAACACCCGGGCATCCCCACCGTAGACGTTTCGCCATCCAGCCAGCCACTGGATGGCGAAACGTCCACAACAAAGACAACCAGACGCCGCACATGTGTCTAATTTCATCAGTAGATGTAGTAGAAGAAGAAGAGGTAGTAGTAGTGGTAGTGGTAGAAGTGGGAAATAAGGAAGACGAGCCAGTCAAATACAAAGGAAGGGGAGCACTGCAAGAGAGCTAGAAACCCACAGAGGGAGAGCAAGCGCACCGAGGTGCCATCCAGTGGCTGGCTGGATGGCGAAACGTCTACGGTGGGGATGCCCGGGTGTTGTGCATGTGTCATTTCATCCTGTCGGTATTATATACAATTCTTGTACTACTACTACTACTACTACTACCACTACTACTACCTCTACCTCTTCCTGCCTATATATAGCCGTTCTGCTCCTCCTCTGTTAGTGTGACTTCGTCAATGGTCCAAGTCGGACCGAAACGTCGTCGTAAGCTTCTGTCTTTTATGTGCGGGTTATTTGTGTAAGGAAACTCACAAATAATCTGGAGATCACTGAAGAGCTTGGTGCAAGTGATCACAAATCCATCACTTTTAGCATTAACTGGGAATACAAGAATAATGACGATATGGTAAAAGTTCTGGTGGCCTGGTGGCTAAAGCTCCCGCTTCACACACGGAGGGCCCGGGTTCGATTCCCGGCGGGTGGAAACATTTCGACACGTTTCCTTACACCTATTGTCCTGTTCACCTAGCAGCAAATAGGTACCTGGGTGTTAGTCAACTGGTGTGGGTCGCATCCTGGGGGACAAGATTAAGGACCCCAATGGAAATAAGTTACAGTCCTCGATGACGCACTGACTTTCTTGGGTTATCCTGGGTGGCTAACCCTCCGAGGCTAAAAATCCAAACGAAATCTTATCTTGTCCCTGATTTTCGTTCTGCCGATTACAGTGGAATTATGGAACACCTGTCTAATCTCGACTGGGGTTGTCTAGCTAATGATTTTATCAACGATGATCATACTTACAATTATGAAGGGATCCGCGTTTATGATTTCTTTCATAATAATGTACACCGTGCTCAGAGTATATACATTCCCCAGAGAAATTAGGTCTAATATCAACAATCCCAAATGGGTTAACAGGAGGCTAAAGTATCTATTAGGGAAGAAAGGGGGAATTTACATGTGCATCAAAAGAGGAGAGGTTAACCTTACTGACCAATAACGGATAACAAACTGGAAATGTGTTCCTTATTTAATGACTATTTTTTGTCAGTTTTTACACAGGAAGACAAATGAGATTCCAGAAATTAAAAATTTTTCAGTTCCTGATGAATTCAAATTAACTAATATTACTGTCACGAGGGCCATGGTTACCAAACAGACAAACTGAAGCAAAATAAGTCCCCGGGGTCCGACAAGTTCTTTTCCAGGGTACTTAAGGAATGCACGATGGAACTTAGTCAGCATTAACGAGCATGTTTAATGCATCCATCTTTACTGGTTTTGTGCCAGAGTTGTGGAAGATGGCTAAATGTGGTTCCTATATTCAAATCAGGGAATAAGCCCGTTCCTTCAAATTACCGTCCAATAAGCCTGACATCTATAGTGGGCAAGTTACAAGAATCAATTATAGCTGGCATCATTTGAAGTCACCTTGAAGAGCATAATTTGATTAGCGAATTTCAGCATGGGTTCACGAGAGGTCGTTCCTGCATGACAAATTTACTGACGTTCTTCAATAGAACATTTGAGGCAGTTGACAGTGATAAAGAATATGATATTGTTTATTTGGATTTTAGTAAAGCCTTTGATAGAGTACCTCACAAGAGACTCTTAAGAAAAGTGGCAGCTCATGGTATAGGAGGTAAAGTTCTAGCATGGATAGAGGCATGGCTTACCAATAGAAAGCAGAGAGTTTCCATTAATGGAGTGAAATCTGAATGGGGATTAGTCACTAGTGGTGTTCCACAAGGATCAGTTTTAGGCCCTCTCTTGTTCATAATTTACATCAATGACCTTGAAGGGATTATGAGTCACATGAGCAAAATAGCTGATGATACAAAGATTGGCCGTATAATTCATTCTGAGGAGGATAGCAACAAACTCCAGGAGGATTTGGACAAATTAATGTCTTGATCTGAAAAATGGCAGATTATGTTCAATGTGGATAAGTGTAAGGTACTAGTCCTTGGTAATGAAAATAACCCTCAAAGCTATAATCTAGGTGAAGTAGAGCTTTACAGAATCTGAAAAAGACTTGGGAGTCATGGTAAGCAGAAATCTAAAGCCAAGACAACAGTGCCTTAGTGTGCGCAACAAGGCCAACAGATTACTTGGATTTATCTCAAGAAGTATAAGTAACAGAAGTCCAAAAGTTATTTTACAGCTCTATACATCACTAGTGAGGCCTCATTTAGATTATGCTGCTCAGTTTTGGTCCCCTTACTACAGGATGGATATAGACTCATTAGAGAACATACAGAAAAGAATGACCAAAATGATTTACTGTGTAAGGAACCTCCCGTATGAAGATAGACTTAAAGCCTTAAATCTCCACTCTCTGGAGAGGCGTAGAATGAGGGGAGATATCATTGAAGTGTATAAGTGGATGACGGGCATAAACAAGGGAGACATTAATAAAGTACTGAGGGTGTCGAACCAGGTAAGAACCAGAAATAATGGATTTAAGTTGGATAAATTTAGATTTAGAAAGAACATAGGTAAGTACTGGTTTTCTAACAGAGTTGTAGATGCGTGGAACAGTCTTCCCAGTAGGGTGATAGAGGCTAGGACCTTGGGTAACTTTAAGAAGAGACTGGACAAATATATGAGCGGGAGAGGCTGGGTTTGATTAGTGTCATTGGGTACGGGAGTTAATTCTTGGGTAACTTTAGGTAGAGGTCGTTTTGATAAGGACCTGCCTCGCATGGGCCAGTAGGCCTGCTGCAGTGCTCCTCCATTCTTAAATTCTTATGTTCTAAGTTAATCTTGTCCCCCAGGATGCCACCCATAGTCTGCTAGCACCCAGTTACCTACTTACTGCTAGGTGAACAGTGACAGCAGGTGTAAGATGACACGCAATGTTTTACCCATGCCAGGGATTGATCCTGGACCATCATTGTGTAAGCTGAGGACGCTAACAACCAACATGTAAAAACTAAATGGTTTTTGATCACTTTCTCCAAGGTCTTCATTAACATTAAGAACATCTATCAATCTTCAACTTGTCGGTTTTCAAGCCATTTATCACATTCATCAATCCTCGCAAGAACATAAGAAGGAACACTGCAACAGGCCTACTGGCCCATGCAAGGCAGGTCCAAGTCACCTCCCGGCTTAAACCAATTACCCACCTAGTCAGGTCAGGTCACACCCACTTACGCAGCACCACATCTATTAGCACAAGCTAGTCAGGTCCAACTCACACCCACCCACATCTACTCATGTATTTATCTAACTTATTATTTAAAACTACACAACTTTTTAACCTGAATAACTGTACTCGGGAGTTTGTTCCACTCTTAATACGTCTTTCTCGAGATTGTCTAGGTCCCCTCAGGAAGGTTCCTTGATGTTGGTGAGGGGCTCTTGATTTAAGGAATTGGATCTGTGCTCCAGTTCCCCGAATTAAGCCTGAATGCCTTCCACATCCCCCCCCCAGGCGCTGTATAATCCTCCGGGTTTAGCGCTTCCCCCTTGATTATAATAATAATCGAGATTGTCTACACTCATAGGGAAGATTTCTGATACATGGGATCTGCCATTGTCATTTGTACGTTTTCCAGTTCATTTATATCTATTGTGTAATATGGTGACTAAAACTGTGCAGTATAATGTAAATGATGCCTAACCAAAGATATATACCGACATAATGAGAGGTATACACCTTACCTGGATAATAATAACGAGAGACTAAGTCACACCTCTGCCGCTCAGCTTTTAAACTTCACCATAACAATGAAGTCAACTCAAAAACTATCACATTTAATATTATTTTAAAAATTTTAAAAATTTATTTTAATATTACTACAACAAGAAAAATATTATAATATTATTTCAATATTAATTATTTATTTTTCACCCAAAGACGCTTTTTAATAATAAAAGTTTCCGAATCGAACAATAGACTCCTGGTGTATTGTTTAATTCCAGTTTGACTTGATAATAATAATAATCATATAATAATGATAATAATGATAATAATAATAATAATAATAATAATAATAATAATAATAATAATAATAATAATAATAATAATAATAATAATAATAACAGTGAATTTTAAAATAGTATAAAATACCGATATGTTGTAAGGTATTTTTTCTGAACCAAGAAACATATGCATCACTTAGGTATGACAATGACAATGACAAGCTTACTTTAGCATGATACATGTTTGTACAAGAGTGTTACAATCTGGTAAATATGCCATAAGCCCCTTTATATACAGCGCAATTCACACATACTTAAGACATTACCTCATCAAATTTAAATTCAAATGTCTATTTCTCTGTATTGATTACGATGTGTGGTTTACATATTATAAAATAATTATAAAATAAAATATTTATTACAAAGAATGCCACTAGTAGGCCTAGGTAGGCCTAGGCATTTCGGACAGACTAATACTATTTCTTACTGTATATTGACAAAGGTTATGAATCATACTGGTAAGATAAGATTTTCGTTCGGATTTTTAACCCCGGAGGATTAGCCACCCAGGATAACCCAAGAAAGTCAGTGCGTCATCGAGGACTGTCTAACTTATTTCCATTGGGGTCCTTAATCTTGTCCCCCAGGATGCGACCCACACCAGTCGACTAACACCCAGGTACCTATTTGCTGCTAGGTGAACAGGACAACAGGTGTAAGGAAACGTGTCGAAATGCTTCCACCCGCCGGGAATCGAACCCGGGCCCTCCGTGTGTGAAGCGGGAGCTTTAGCCACCAGGCCACCGGGCCTGGTATTATTAGTATTATTATATACTTCTACTGTCTTCCAGTTATGTCCTAGAATTTGTATTGATGAAGACACTGGTGGGCGAAACGTCTATAATAAAGATACGCAGATGTTGCATGTGTCTAATTTTCATCATAAGAACATAAGGATGGAGGAACACTGCGGAAGGCCTACTGGCCCATTAATAAGGCAATAACAGTGCAGTAATTTTACGTATGGTAATTAGCTGACTTACAATCAGTACAAATAACATAATATTCAACTAGTTCATGCAATATGGCTTTAGTAAGTTCAGTAGAGAATAACTACAGCTTTGATATAGTTTATAAGCAATACAGTAAGATAAGATTTCGCTCGGAGTTTTAACCCTGGAGTTTTTTTTTTTTTATTTTATTTATAACATACAATACATTAACAAAAGCATACAGTATGAGAGCATCGACAGACAATATAAATTCATCAGTTTCTATACACTGCAATATGCAGTAATATGTCAAATATATACACTTCATGCAGCTGATAGGTGAATACTGCCATATACATAATTCATTACTACAAAATATAACTATTCAAGTAATACAAAATAAAGAATCCTCTTACTCCTTCCCGATTGCTAATTTCAATATACACACAATAATTACATGCCGCAAAAAATGCAAGCAGTATAACCCCCCTCCCATTTTACCCCAGCTCATCAAAATGTACAGCATTTCACCGTTGTTTATTTAACTTATAAACTAACCATACTAAATTAAACTTAAGAACATATTATATTGAAAACAATAACAACTCTACAGTAGTGAAAATGCCAGCTGCTGTCCTAACATTATTTATATATACATATGTATATATATACATTATAAACTGAATTAGTTTACAATGGGAGTCAAATCCTATCTTTATTGCTGTCCCATGCAGCATTCTCAGACTTCTACTATTATACGCTACTACGATAGCCTTCAGCAGAAGGCATTAATTAACAAATATTAAATAACACTAAGAACGCATGAACTCAGCACTCCCATGCACATCCCAATTACACACAATCGTTCTCTGTTGCACTTATCACTCACCCACGCACATGCACACCAAACCAACATCTTTCGTTTGGCAAGCCCGTTTGGTACCCCCCTTTTTTATCGAATGCTTTACACAACAATCTAAACCCACTTCCCCCCCCCCTCACAACTCTAGCAACTCCCCAACAGTGATGGACCTGTAACCCTCAGTGAAATCTCCCTCCCATCTCCTCCCATAAATTTCCCGATTCCTATTCATTGTCCTACAAAAAAAACTCGCTAAAACTCGTTTCCTCGTCTCCCCATTATCCACCCCTCTCATTCCCCACGATATGTACACGAAATCCACCATGATATAAGCTATTCCCCGTGCCACATTCTCCCCCACCCCCCTATATCAAGACTCAGCGCTCTCAACACTGACACCCCAGTTCCTCCTATCCTCCTGACCACTTTCCCAAGCCATTCCCTCACACTCCCCAAATAATCGCAAAAGTATACCACGTGATAGGCTGTCTCCAACTCCTCACATAACCCACACCAACCCTCCTCTACGACACGTCTATTTTTGAGGACTGATCCAGTAGGCAAAATCCCGTGTAAAAATTTAAACATGATCTCTCGCACCCTGGGACCTAGCTTTAGTTTACCGAACAGACTCCATATAGCGCCCCATGCATACATCGGGAACAGCCCCTCAACTGGGGCCGTCTCCTCTACCCTCAATATTCGATATAATTTGTCTGGCTCGCGCACCCACAAAAGTGCCCTCAACAAAATCTCACACTCCCTCCATTCCCCACCCACATACATTCCCCTCAAAATATCATGCAACCTTTGCATGCATGTCCCCCTCTGTCCCCCTAATCTTTTCCACTCCCACCTGACGAAAATGCATTTCACCCTCCTTCCCAGGTCCAACAAACCTAAACCTCCCTTCCTCACCGGCAAAGTCACCACCTCCCTCTTCATCCATTCACATCCTGAGCCCCATAAGAACCTAAAAACACTTCTAAGGATACGAGTAATCTCAGCCCTCAGCAATGGAAAAACTGCTGCTACATACCATACCTTACTGTACAGCAATACATTAATAACAATCGCCCGTTGCAATAATGTCAAGTGATAAGGCCGTAACATCCCCAACCGATGTTCCACACGTTCCACCATTCTCAACGAATTCGCCTCCCTAGCCTCCCGTATGGTCGCTCCATACAAAATGCCACATATTAATAACTGCCCTTCCTGCCTTCTCACCACATCACAGTCCCAGTCAACTCTGTCTCTCCACTCCCCTAGCCCCATGATCTTTGTTTTCTCAATGTTTACCGTCATGCCTGTCGCCCCTCCAAACATGCCAACCACCCCTCCCAGCTCTCTCAATCTTGTTCCCTTCTGGACTAGGAGTGTCGTGTCATCCACGTAACCTACCACATGATGCCTAATCAAGCCCTCCCTCGACCCCTCCCCCGCACACACTCTGATCTCAACCAACCTATAAAATGGATCTTGCACACATGCAAATAATAACTGTGATAGCGGGCAACCCTGCCTCAAGCCCCTATCCATGTTCACCACACCTCCCACACATCCATTGATCTGAATTCTTGCTTTTGCCCCTTTACACAACGTTTCAACCCACCCCACAATCTCATCCCCAAAACCTTGTTTGCTAAGGATCTGTCTTAAACCCTCCCTTTCCACCTGATCATAAGCACCCTGCCAATCAATCGCCACCATACCCCCTCCTTCCCGCGTCCCCTCAAAACTCTCAACAAACCCCTTTAGAATTCCGTGCCCCATGACCATCGACCGTCCTGGCAACCCTAGTTGACCTTTTGAAACTACACGTCCCACTACACATTTTAACCTATTCCCCAAAATCTTCGCGAACAATTTATAGTCCGCACACATGAGAGTAATCGCCCTGTAATCCTTAAGTGTACTCTGCCCCTTACCCTTAGACACAAGCACAACGACCCCTGTACTTTGCGTCTCTCCCAGTTCTCCCCCATCTTTCATTCTATTGAACAGCATTACTAAAAAAAACCCTTAACAGATCCCAATGTTTTAAGTAAAATTCACTTGGTAGTCCATCAATACCTGGTGCTTTGCCTCTGCACATGTCTACAAGCACTCTCCATATCTCCCCCACTTCAATCTCACCACCCAAAGCTTCCCTGTCCTTTCTCCCCAGAGCTACAGGCTCTACAGCACACACCCCATCAAGATCCTCCCTATTAACTCCTTTACTTTTCCAATAATGCCCATACCACGCATCCGCGAACATACTCATCCCCTCCGTTGTTTTTAACACATGCCCCTCCCTAAAACCTTTCACCTCAGTGTGCACTTCCAAATCTGCTATTGTGGTCGCTGTCCTCCTCTGCTGTTGTCTCCTCAACACACATGCCAATGGCTTGTCCCCCCAAAGCACTTCCTCCACACCCGCCTGCACCCGCACCACATGAAATCTCTCCTCCTGCACCTCTCTTAACCTGCTCTTCAGATCATCTATTGCCTCTGTTTGGAATACCCCTCCCACCACTCCTTGCTCATGATAGTATCCTATTCTACTTTCCAAATAATTTGTTAATCCATACTTCAGTCGATTTATACGCTTCCCCTCACCCACGTAAAACCTACGAATCCTCTCCTTGGCCACACTGTCCCACCAACGTACAACATTATAAACCCTTTTTGCCTCTTCACCTAGCTTCCTCCACAACGAAGCAAACCCCACCTCCACTTCCTCATCCTCAAGGAGTCGTGTGTTTAATTTCCAGTAGCTTTCAAACCGTTTCACTAACGAATCCCATGCCACCCCCACCACCACTGCCCTGTGAACTGAATAAATTGCTTCTATAGTGTTAAAAGACTCTACTGAAACCCCTTGCGTTATATAGATCCTATCCAGTCTAGCTGTGTATTCCCTCCTTACATACGTATGTTGCACTTCACCTATTCCACCCCAAAATGCATCTCGTACCCCAATATCTCTACACAGATCTCGCAACACGTTTGAAAAATATCCCGCCCCTGCTGGCGTCACATCAAATCTCCGTATTATACAATTCCAGTCTCCCCCAATCAATGCAACCCTGGGCAGCGCTCTCAAGAAATACACTAGATCATCCCTTACAAATGCCGATTATACCCTCACATCGTTCTCCGCCGGAGCATACACTCCAACAAGGGACACACGTTCACGCATCCACCACCCGTCCACTCTCATTATTCTTCCCTCACCCCCCCCCAAACCTTTGCAAAACAAACGGGTTTGCCTCACGAATTAAAACACCTACTCCGCCTTTTAAACGTGTCGTTGGCATTACAAAAGCCCTATATCCATCCACCTCCAGCAATTTTCCTGCTTTCAAGTTATGCTCTTGTATAAAGGCAACATCTACCTTGTAACGATACAGCAGTCCTCGCATCCATACACACTTACCACTCTTACATAAACCATTAACATTAATTGTCATACACCTTAGGCCTGCTTACGTTTTCCACCCACTTTTCCCCACCACATTTTTCTGCTGTCCAGTAGCCTCATACACACCGTCCTTGGCACTCACCCCACCCTCTCCACTCCTAACCCCTTGCTGGCGTTTCTTTTTCTCTGTGCCTCTACACACACCTTCAATCCCCGCCTTTTTCCCTGGTCTTTGTGCTGGAGTGAGGACGTCATCCGAGTCAGACGTGACAGCTGCCCGCTTCCTCGACACTTCCTCTTCCGCCATGCTTGTCTCCTGACCTTCCTCATTGTGCACCTCCACCTCTATCACCTCATTCCCCTTCTCACTACTTGGCCAAGCCGACATTATATTCCTTTCTCCAGACCCGCATGCTTCCCCTTGTCCCGGTACCTGGTCTCCCGTCGTTACCTCTGTCAAGGCTTCCTCCGATTTAGGGAACATCTCCTGCAAAACTGTCTCAAGCACTACGTCAATTTCTACGTCATTCGGTACGTCCTTGTCCGCTTCGTGCATCACTCAATTGCTGAACTGCACCCTCATGCTCCACCTCATGTTGCATTTCCTCCACTTCCTCACTCCACAACCGATCACGCCTACGTCCATCCTGGCGGTTCTGATCAGTCACTGTAGGTCCTCGCCTCGAAATGTCACTCCTTGGTATTCCCTGGCCAGTCCTCCGCCGCACACATTCAGCCGCTATGTGATCATAACCATCACACAGTCTACAAGTTCTACGTTGGCCAGCGTAAGTTACAAGTATTTGTGTCTTAAATTCCTCTAAGAACACATACGAAGGTATAGGTTGCCTCAGAGTCATCTTTAGGCTAAAACTACCTTCTGGATAACCCACATAAGCCCCTGCCGTCCACTTGCCTTGTTGAGCTACGTGTACAGTTCCAAACTTCCCGAACACACTACGTAGGTCAGCTTCATTTGCCTCGAAAGGCACATTACGTAACTTTACATAAGTAAATTGACTCGAAACATCGACCATCTTTACCAGGATGTCCTCGTTAACCTCGATAGCAACATCCTGATAATGAGCAAGTAGATCCTCATACACCTGTGATGACAGCAGTTTCACGAACATTCGGTAGTTTCCATTTAAGGCTACACCGTAAAGGTCGCAATCCTCAATCCCATATGTCTCTCGAATAATCAGAGGCCACCTCTGGTGGCCTGGTGGTTAACGCTCTCGCTTCACACGGTGAGGGCCTGGGTTCGATTCCCAGCCAGAGTAGAAACATTGGACGTGTTTCTTTCCACCTGTTGTCTATGTTCCCCATCAGTAAAATGGGTACCTGGGTGTTAGTCGACTGGTGTGGGTCGCATCCTGGGACACTGACCTAAGAAGGCCTGGTCACAGACCGGGCCGCGGGGGCGTTGACCCCCGGAACTCTCTCCAGGTAAACAACGTCAACGCCGAATCTTGATTAATTGTACCTCTCAGTAATTCTATGCCGACAGTGTTAATTCTGCATCGCACCCCAACCACCATTGTGACAGCCTGGCTAGCACTTACGCCTGTCAGAAAGGAGTAGCAAACGTCCACCCTCACCGGCAGCTGGGCGAGGAATGACCCTGGAGGGTTAGCCACCCAAGATAACCTAAGGCAGTGCGTCATCGAGGACTGTCTGTCGGGTTGCGTGCAGACAACAGTAACAGCCTGTGTGATGAATAGTTTTGAAAACCGACAAGTTGAAGAATTGAGACACTTATGCAACACATGGGAATCTTTACTGAAGAAACGTTTCGGCACGCAGTGGCTTCATCAGTCCAATACAAAGTAGAAATGGGTAAGGAGAGTAGAAGTTTGAGGTAATCAGTCCCTCAACCTGGAATCGATGTGTTCAGTCCATCACTCTTGTAGAAAGTGCAGCATAGGGCCAGAGAGGTGGCTTATACTGCGGTGAGATGAGTTGAAGCAGGAGGAGGCGGGATCACAGTGGGACCTGCCACTAGTGTAAGTAGGTCGCTTGCCCAACCTTTGGACGACGACCTACTTACACTAGTGGCAGGTCCCACTGTGATTCCGCCTCCTCCTGCTTCAACTCATCTCACCGCAGTATATAAGCCACCTCTCTGGCCCTATGCTGCACTTCCTACAAGAGTGATGGACTGAACACATCGATTCCAGGTTGAGGGACTGATTGCCTCAAACTTCTACTCTCCTTACCCATTTCTACTTTGTATTGGACTGATGAAGCCACTGCATGGCGAAACGTTTCTTCAATAAAGATTCCCATGTGTTGCATAAGTGTCTCAATTCTTCAGTAACAGCCTGGTTGACCAGGACTTGATCCATCATGAGGCCTCATCACAGACCGGGCCGCGGGGGCCTTGACCCCCAAAACCCTCTCCAGGTATTAGGGTCCTCAATCTTGTCCCCCAGGATGCGACCCACACCAGTCGACTAGCACACCCAGGTACCTACTAGCTGATACGTGAACAGGACAACAGGTGTAAGGAAACGTATCGAAATGTTTTCACCCCACTGGGAATCGAACCCGGGCCCTCCATGTGTGAAGCAAGAGCTTTGCCAGCCAGGCCACGGGGCCTCCTATTACAATTTAGCACAAATTAAAACAATGAAGTTCAAAGAATTTTAAAAGAGGTTCAGACATGTATGCGCGGAGCCCCAGACCCACAAAATGTGATCAGTCACAAGGGAGCCTTCACCAAACTGAACTTCAATAACAAGAACATAAAGTGGGACCAAGTAAATCAAGTCCTAAATGATATAAGCTGCGAAGATAGACTAAGCAACATGGACTCCAAACTATGCCTAGAACAGATTAACTCTGTGGCACTCGATGTATACTCAAAGCTTATTCCTTTAAGAAAAAGGAGGGGAACATGTAAACTAGAAAGAGAAAGGCGCTCCCTTTATAGGCGAAGGCAAAGAATAACAGAGCGGCTAAAAGAGGCAAATATATCTGCAATACGTAAGGAGGCACTGGTCAGAGAAATAGTAAACATCGAACTGAAGCTAAAGGAATCCTACAGGAGTCAAGAATCGAGGGAACAACTGAAAGTCATAACTGAAATCGAAAGAAACCCAAAGTATTTATTCTCTTATGCCAAATCAAAGTCGAGAAAAACATCCAGTATTGGGCCTCTACTTAAACAAGATGGGTCCTACACAGATGACAGCAAGGAAATGAGTGAGCTACTTAAGTCCCACTAACCAGACTGAGAGTCGAAGACCTAAATGATTTTTTATGAGAGTGACACAGAATTTGGTAGACACAAACCTATTTGATATTATCATGATGCCAAATAACTTCAAAAAGGCAATAAATGACATGCCCATGCACTCTGCCCCAGGCCCAGACTCATGGAACTCCGTGTTCATCAAGAACTGCAAGAAGCCCCTGTCATGTGCTTTTAACATCCTGTGGAGAGGGAGCATGGACACTGGGATCGTCCCACAGTTACTAAAAACAACAGACATAGCCCCACTCCACAAAGCGGACAGTTAAGCAATAGCAGAGAACTACAGACCGAGAGTGCTAACGTCCCATATCATAAAAATCTTTGAAAGGGTTCTAAGAAGCAAGATCGCCCCCCATCTAGATATCCATCAGTTACACAACCCAGGGCAACATGGGTTTAGAGCAGGTCGCTTTTGTCTGTCCAAACTACTGGACCATTATGATAAGGTCCTGGATGCTCTAGAAGACAAACAGAATACAGATGTAGTTGTGGAAAATATTTTAATTTTCCGAAGCTATAGTGCCTAATAGGTGTTTAATGTGTCGATATGAGTCAAAAATGTATTTGACAATAGGATAGAACCAAGAGTTCCCTTTGCGCATGCGCGGATGTGCAGGGGTATAGGTCGAACTGGGGCATGAGAGGCGGGTGTGTTTTGAATGTAGCGATAGGCGGGAGTGTTTTGAATGTAGTGAGGAGGCTGGGAAAGCATGGAACCAGGAAATTGGCGTTAACGGCGGCCTAAGGATTAATATAGGCCTCATTTCATAATAGGAAGTGTCGTAACTGTTCCTGGTGGAGAGTGAGGGAACGTGATTTACAGGACCACCGTAATAGAGTGGTAAAATGAGTGAATAAGGGTAGGACCGGGTGACTGGCGTGTCGCCATGGACTGTGTCCTGGGGAAAATTACCCTTGGTTTAATCATCACTCATCAGTCTCAGATCTTAATGGAGTGATCTCTAATGTGTATAATAATTATGAGACATTAAATCGTCTTGTAAATTGTAATGTAATTAATGATAATAACGCTAAGTTAAGAGAATGCGTGAAGTGAAATAAGTCGCCTTGCTCCGAGTGAACACGCTAGACCACGTTGTTCCCGTCACGAGGAAAGTGAAGTTCATTGAGTCACGACTTCTAAACCAGGACAAACCAACGGATACCTCGTCCTGCTGGGATAAGAACCGTGTCGGTGTAGCAGGACATCGAAATGAGATGGTGAATGGAGGAAATAAGGAGTATCAATCACCCACAGTTAAGTAACTCTTCTAGTTATAGCAGACTGATACTGGCCAGTTAGGTATGTTATAATTGGATAGGTTATGAGTGATCCAGCTACATCAAGTGACCACCAGAGAATATCTGGTAAGTGGTGAGATTATGTACAAGTGTTTTTCCTTGATGGATATATACATGTGTAGCCTACCCCTCTCCCCTTCATTCAGTTTACCTGGAGTTTACCTGGAGAGAGTTCCGGGGGTCAACGCCCCCGCGGCCCGGTCTGAGACCAGGCCTCCTGGTGGATCAGAGCCTGATCAACCATATAATCTATACAGTCCACAATTAATTAGTAGCGCCGTACTTGAGGGTGCTACCCAATTTATACTGGTCTCGGATAGATATGGATAAGATTGTGAGGGTCGAGGGGTGTGGAAATTTATTTGGTCCAAATAGTTCCACAGCTCAGATCCAGCATGGCCGTCTGGTCGTCTGAGCCGAGCGGCCCTTAAACCCTTCCCAATCAAGGCTTCTCTGGTTGACGGTTGTTGGTAAGCATTATTTAAATTTATCGATTTACTCTTAGGGAAGGAGTAGTAGTTTTAATGTAGTACACTATATTAGGGTTTACTAAGGCATCTGGTGTAGTATTGATAAAGAAGACTAAGACCTTAACATAGGTTTAGTAATAGGCCGATATGTAGGCAAACACTAGGATAAGTTAGCTAGGGAGAACTGGCAGGCCTAGGTTGAATGGCGGGGAGCCCCCCCCCCAGGTCACAAGACATAATAGCGTCCTTTCTTACGATAGCACGACTGGACAAGACGTGCGTTGAACAGCAGACGGCGCCCCCATGTGTCTTCACACTCTGAGACTGGGGAAAATTGGTAGAGGCACCTCGATTGTACCGTAGATAGATGATCTCCTCATCAGCCATACAGTAAGACGAGATATTCACTTTTCCCGTAGGTTCTGGCCAGGGTCTTAGGGAGATTGTGGGTTGAGTTAACTAGGGCTCGGCGTGCTACAGAGAGAAGCATGCCCAGTAAGTACCAGGTGTCTCAGAGCCGTCTGAAGCTAGTGTCTAAGGTCAGCATAGTTATACTAGGGGATACATATGCTCTGGGATATAGGAATTCTGAGGTGCATGCAGGGACTACTAATTACGATTGAATATTGCAGGAATTAATTGCTCACGGTTGCACGTGGTTTCCAAGGGGAAGTCCAAAGGGGCTAAAGCTAGGTTAGTAAGTTAGAAAGATCAGGATATATGCTGCATCACCAAGTAAGTTAGTCCTTTTATCGTGCATGCAGGCGAGGTTTTCTTGCAATAACAATCATTTGTGAAAAATCTTGTTCTATAGCCACTTGTGAGGCTGAGGTACCCACCTCAGAGGCTCGGTGTCAACAGAAGTTTGCCAGGGTAGGCGACTCACTTGGAGGCAGTCACAGTCACAAAATTTTCACAAAAGTGGTCCTTCGAAAACCGGATGTGGAATAGCTAGGTTAAGCTATTCATAGTAGGCACAGTTAGGATCCAGTTTTACAGGTTAGGTTAGCTTATCATAGCTAGGCCACAGTTAAGAACCAGTTTTACAGGTTAGGTTAAGCTATCATAGCATAGCCACAGTAGGAACCAGTTTAAAAAAGTTTAGTTTTAAGTTAGCACACCTAGGTCAAAGTTTACACAGAGGCTAGGCCAAGCTGACTATACAAGAAGTTGTTATTTGCAGTAATTTAACAGGCAGGCCAGGTAGGCTAGAGAAGCTTGTGAATTTAATTATTTACAGTGATTACAAGTAATCCAGGAGTAGGAGGACTTGTGTGTTAATTACTTACAGTTGATTTGCAAGGTAGCTCACAGTTAGGCTAGGCTTGTCAATCATTTACAAAGGTTTTATAGTAGCTAGGACAGATTTAACCTAGTTATTATTACATGGGAGTTTTAAAGCCGGTTTTAGTTTAGCACACTAGCTAGGTTAGGATTTCCTTATCAACCCATCCACGCTAGACAGAGTAAGCTGGGCACAGGCCAAGCTGGTTACATACATTATTCATTTATGGTTCAC